ACAGACATTCTACATAAACGATTATAATACATTTAAGCATAAGCTTCAGTTGAGCTTTAAGAAAAATAGCCGTTTCAAAACTACAAAACTGCTGCACAGAGAATTATGCAAGTTCCACAATACGTCAGTTTAAATCAAAATTCGTGTTTATTTCAAGAACATACTTTAGTACTACTTTCATACCCTTCTCTGGTAGACAATTGACAGAAACATCCTCTTGATGTCCACAGTTATGGTTGCCCCAGCCGATATGTACACACTCTGAAATATCTGTTTCATTTCCAATACATTGTACATCATCTAGCCAGATAGGACCAGTTCCTTGTCCATGACGTGCACAACAATAGCTCACAGATATTTGCCTAAGGATTAGAAGTTATATATTAAAAAAATTACTTATGACAGTTTCATAATCTTGATATCACCAATTTCACGTAATTAATTTCTACTTGAAAGTTTCAACAAAAAAATTTATTGCAGACCTAATTGGACAAAGATCTTATGCCTAGGTTGATGTTTCAACGCTCACAAAATATATTATTCCATGATGAATAAAAATAGATTATTTCGTTTTGTAAATGTTACCTCATTATAAATTTCAATACGACTTTTAATTTCAATTTATACAATGTAAAATTGATTAAAATTTTTTTAGATTAAATTTGCGTTTGAAAACATATCCCTGAACACTTGTTACATACCAGGGAAACCTAAAGATCGGCATATTACTTTGGAGAAACTGTTATTCGATCCACCAGCATTAAATAAATAATAGTCATCACAAATTGTCCCCCATGCTCCATTGTAATACACCTCCACTCTGCCCTCATAAGGACTGCTCCCCCCAACAAGACGAACCCTCGTGCCTGAAAAGCAATTTTAAAAAATAGAAAATAAACATTTCTTTGAAAATGAATACGATCTTACAAGTGTTTCATGAGCCACGACACTCTCATCATGTTGAGCCAGATTATGCGGTCGAAAAAAAGTTTAAGACACAGCTCTTGAATATGGATACTTTTTTATCTTGACCTTCGATTAAGAAACACTGATTTTTTTAAACGCCTTCTAAAGACAGAGTATTTGGGTGAGAAATAAAGTGCAAAGGAGATAACAAAATGCCCAGGGGCCACATCGCTCACCTGGGCAATTGGCTAGGAAAAAGCACATATTAGATCAGAACTGCAAGTTTACTGAGGAGGGGGGGGGGCTTGAAGTGGGACGCCCAGGGGGTCTGTCATGGTTTGAACAAACTAGAATCTACATTACTTGAGGATGATTCCCTATTAATATCACTAAGCATGGCCTTGAAGAACTTGAAAAGAAGATTTTAAAAGGTTTCCCTATACATTCCTTTGTAAAACTTTGATCGGCCATTCGGCCCCACCATCCCCCCGGGGGTCAAGATTTAAAAGAAACTTGAATCTACACTACCTGAGGATGATTCCACACGAGTTTCATCTTTTCTGGCCCAGTGGTTCTTGAGAAGACGATTTTTAAAGAATTTTTCCTATATATTCCTATGTAAAACTTTGATCGGCCATTTTGGCCCCACCCTACCCCCGAGGATCATCATTTAAACAAACTTGAATCTACACTATGTGAGGATGATTCCACATGAGTTTCACCTTTCCTGGCCCAGTGGTTCTTGAGAAGAAGATTTTTAAAGAATTTTTCCTATATCTTCCTATGTAAAACTTTGATCGGCCATTTTGGCCCCACCCTACCCCTGGAGGTCATGATTTGAACAAATTTGAATCTACACTACCTGAGGATGATTCCACATGAGTTTCATCTTTCCTGGCCCAGTGGTTCTTGAGAAGAAGATTTTTAAAGATTTTTCCTATATATTCCTATGTAAAACTTTGATCGGCCATTTTGGCCCCACCCTACCCCCGGGAGTCATGATTTATATAAACTTGCATCTACACTACCTGAGGATGATTCCACATAAGTTTCATCTTTCCTGGCCCAGTTGTTCTTGAGAAGAAAATTTTAAAGTTTTTCCTATACATTCCTATGTAAAACTTTGATCGGCCATTGTGGCCCCACCCAACCCCGTGGGTCATGATTTGAACAAACTTGAATCTACACTACATGTACCTGAGGATGATTCCACATGAGATTCGTCTTTCCTGGCCCAATGGTTCTTGAGAAGAAGATTTTTTTCAAAATGGCATTAATTTTTCTCTAATTCATAATTATCTCCCCTTGGAAAAGAGCGTGGCACTTCATTTGAACAAACTTGAATCCCCTTTACCCGAGGATACTTTGTAGCAAGATTGGTTGAAATTGGCCCAGTGGTTCTTGAGAAGAAGATGAAAATGTAAAAGTTTACAACAACGACAACGAAAGAAAACGGAGACAAATTTTGATCAGAAAAGCTTACTTGATCCTTTGGCTCAGGTGAGCTAAAAAGTGAATGTGGACAGACAGAGGGACAGACTGATTAGTAAATGGCATCAACAAAGTTTGGCAACATTACTCGACCTAAATATAACATTAAATAAGAAAAGATTCATTACTTGTCATTGGTGTGGTGGTCTCTCCTGTGATCTGTGTCGTTGGTAATTGTGTACATATTGACGATGTACCTAGACAATGACAAAATAAAATGAGAAATGAAAATTTAAATGTTTTCTATGATTTCGTCTAGAACAAGAAGTCTCTGAAGAGAAATTAGCTCTTCTAGTAGTGAAAAATAACACTTTGGCCTGAAAGTATTGCAACTGCCACAAATTAAGGGGACTAAGGATGTTTGGTCACATATGACTCAGTTTAATTACGTCATAATCTCTGATAAAATATGTAAAAAAACAAGATTGAAACAACAGTATTTGTATGATTTTTTGACTGTTTGTTTGAGTTCACCATCTTGTATAAAAATATCTAAAAACATACAAACTTTATTGCAAATATTATAGAATTACGGAATAGATTGATCCACTCTTCTGTTCCCCTACACTGCGCGTCCAACGAGTCGTTGACGTCGAAGTTGACGTCACAGTGGATCTCTTGGTACAGTAAGATTATACACGGTAAAACGCGGATAGTATTATCATAAAAACGGGTCATGATCAGTACATGGTGGGGTATTTTGTGAATTAGAGAGCACAAAAAATATTTTTACACCTCACTTTGTATTCCCTCGTCACCCCTCCCCTTTGTTTACTTCTTTGTATATAAAGCTTTCACAATGAAGATTCATAATATACATGAATGTCATATATCTTTTGCAGCTTTATGAAATGAATTTGTATTTAGCATTTACCAAAGAGAATTTGTATAAAGTATATAATATAAATTATATGGAAGAAAAATTATATAGTATATGTATGTATTGAATGTAAACAAATATATTGTACATAGTCTGTAAATGTGAAAGCAAAAATAAATTCTTTGAATTAAAAAAAAAAAAAATTTACAGGGTTGTCTAGGTATTTCGCAGAAGTGTGACGTCATAGTTGGGTTTTCCCGTACTCCAGAAATGTAAACATGACACGTTTATCTCAAGCTCATGCCTTGTTTAACCATGTCCTGTGCAATATTGAGCTCAGCTTCATCAATCGATATTTTTACAGTTAAAAAATAACACGACGAACTTGCACTTTAACGTTAATTTTCAAATATTGAATGATAGGATTTTTTACCAATTAATTTCTTTGTTGTTTAAGTTTTCTTAAAAAGAACGTTATTTTCCGTCTCCAGATGCGGTGTGACAAAGAATATTTCTTTTTCGAATTTTCCACCCTATTTATACTCTGAAATATTTTTAAAGACACATGTTAGCTGACATATTTTTTATCTATACTGAAAAAAATCCATTATGGACCGATTAATGGGCCCAGAAACATTGAGAATTACAAGAGGCCCAAGGGCCTTGAATCGCTCTCTCTGATAAATTGTACAATCTGTCACTTCTATTAGAAGCCTCCAACTCTATTAGTATCATAAGACCCAAAATGCATCAACTTACAAAGTTTGATAATATTTAGCCAGTTAAGACTGAAGATATTATAATATAATTATCAAATACCATAAGTAGGTCAAAGTGACCTACCTTTTAATTGGAAATATCTGAGGACTCAAGATATATTAATTGACAAAGACTGATGATTCTAATTAAATAATACCTGATATATTCAAAAGTAGGTCACCATGACCTACTTTTAAGCAACATTCTCTGAAAACCCAAGATGCATCATCTGACAAAGTTTGACAATTCTAAGCCAATTAGTTCCAGAGATAATTTAATATAGCCATCAAATGTCAAAAGTAGGTCACGGTGACCTACTTTTTGGACGACGTTATCCAAACATCCAAGATGCCTAAACTGAGAAAATTTGTTGATTCTAAGCCAATAAGTACCTGAGATATTCAAAAGTAGGTCACCGTGACCTACTTCTTGTTGGACATTCAATGAAACCGTAAGATGCCTCAACTGGCAAAGTTTGATGATTCCGAGCCAATAAGTACCAGATATAATCAAATATAGCCAAAAAATGTCAAAAGTAGGTCACAGTGACCTACTTTTTGGTCTACTTTCTCCGACAATCCAAGTTTTATTAACTGACAAAGTTTGATGATTCTAAGCTAATACGTACCTGAGATATTCAAAAGTAGGTCACTGTGACCTACTTTTTGGTCCACGTTCTCCGAAAACCCAAGGTGCCTAAACTGACAAAGTTTGATGATTCTAAGCTAAAACGTACCTGAGATATTCAAAAGTAGGTCACTGTGACCTACTTTTTGGTCGACATTCTCCGAAAACCCAAGATGCATCATCTGACAAAGTTTGATGATTTTAGGTCAATAAGTACCAGAGATACTTAATTATAGCCACAAAATGTCAAAAGTAGGTCACTATGACCTACTTTTTGGTCGTCACTCTCCGAAAATCCAAGATGCATCAACTCACAAAGTTTGATGATTCTAAGCCAATAAGTACCGGAGATACTTAAATAAAGCCATAAAATGTCAAAAGTAGGTCACCATGACCTACTTTTTTGGTCGTCACTCTCCGAAAACTAAATATGCATCCATTCACAAAGTTTGATGATTCTAAGCCAACAAATGCCTAAGATACTGAAATATAGCCACAAAATGTCGAAAGTAGGTCATCGTGACCTACATTTTGGTCCACATTTTTCAAAGACCCAAGATGCATCTACTGACCAAGTTTGATGATCATAGGTCTGAAGGTAATCAAAATATGCATTTTAAACAATTTGAAAACAAATGTCGGCAAAATTTAAAAAGAGGTCACAGTGACCTACTTTGTTATAAATATGTTCTAAGGTCCCTAGATGCATCAAAGTACAAGATTTGATGATTCTAAACCTCCCAGTGTCTGAAATAATGGGATTTAATGTTTTTAATAGGATAAGTCATAAAATTGAAAAAAAGAGGTCACAGTGACCTACTTTTAAGTTGACATTGTTCAATACTGAGATGTATCAACTGACAAAGTTTGATGATCATAGGCCTTAAAGTGTCCAAAATATGCCTTCAAATCAATTTGAAAACAAATCCCCGCAAAATTTAAAAAGTAGGTCACCGTGACCTACTTTTGAGTTACAAACATATGTGAAGTCGTAAGATGCATCAACTTACAAGATTTGATGATTCTAGTCCTTATAGTAAGAAAAATATACACGTTTTTATTAATTGTAAATTTAGGTCAACTTTGAAGTGACCTTGAGACCACGCCCTTTGCCCCAGGGTCATGCCTTGAACAATTTTTAATCTTCAACATATCCTGATCCTTGTATGTAAGTTTGGTGAAAATCTGCCTGGTGGTTCTGGAGAAGAAGCTTTGTTAGCAACCGGTACTTTTGGTTTTGTTTTCCTGATTATCTCCCCTTGTTTTAGGGTCCCAACCCTTATTTTAGTAAAAATGGTAGCCCTTGGGCCAAGGATACCCTGTGACAAATTTGGTACTGATTGGCCAAGGGGTTCTTGAGTTATGGCCCATATTCTAAAAAGTTAACGCACACCGCACACCGCACAAATGGCCATAGCATTAGCTCTTTGAGCCTTTGGCTCCAGAAGAGCTAAAAACTCCACTTAGACAATTTGGGTATAGTATTTGTCACTCAATATCTCAAAAATAAGTCCAGAAACCTATTGATATATATGCTTTAAGATATGTAGGACATACTATATTACAAAATATGAAAAAAAATTAAACGACAGGTATTTTTTCAGCTCAAGGTCCTTCTTCCCCTTAAATAATGATCTTAAGTCTATGTCTGAGTCGAGTTTAATTAGCAAAACAGAGACGGAGGAATAACATATAATAAAGTTTCACATATTTTTTTTATTTTTAGTAACGATGGCAACCCGTCAACAAAATAAGAAACACATAAAACATGTAAAAACAACGAAAAGAAATATATCTAATTTTTTTCTCCTTGTCAACTGTTATTCAGAAATCGGACTAAAACTGTAGAAGGAGTTGCTGTTTGGAAGAATTTCACCAAAATGCTTTTGTTTTGTTTTTTTAAGATGGCAAACTGATGAATATAATGAAAAAAAATGAAACATATAATCATTTATTTTTTGTTTGTTGTGCCAAATTATGTAGAAATCAGACCAAAACTGGTGTGGAGTTGCATTATTTGTAAAAAAAAAAAATTTTACAGAGAAGCGGACAGAGAGAGTTAATCAGACGGACGGACGACAGATTATTTACTACTGCATTAGATGTCATGGTCTCTGGTCGGGGATGAGCCAAAAATGACAAGATATAAAACAGCATCAATTATGAAAAAACAAAATTGGAAGTTAATAAATTATGTTCTGTTGTTAATGTCATATTATAAAGAAATTAGAACTTTTGCACAAAAGTAAGAAATATAAGTTAATATAACATGCAAGATAAAAGTAAATTGTAACAACCCCAACCCCCCCCCCCCCCCTTGACCTACTGCCAGGGTGTAAATTGAATTGAAGCGTAATGTTCAGGTGATTTCTTTTAATATCCTACCCTCCCCTGGAAAACAGTTGACAGCCATGTCTTCGTAATGTCCACAGTTATGACTGCCCCAACCAAGATGTGAACATTCCTCAACAGATGATTCGTATCCATTGCATCGAACGTTATCCAACCATATAGGACCTGTTCCTACTCCACAACGTGCACAACAAAAACTCACTGTAGTTTGCCTAAAACATCAATCGGGCTATAAAACTAAAACATTTATGTACATGTATTCACTGTAAACCCAACTTTCGTTTGTGACAACTTTATTTCGCGATTTACTGGGGTTAAACTAGTTCGCAACGATTCATTTTTGCGATCAAGCCTTTTTTGATCTATTGTAAATAGACACAGAAAATGTAAGGACTGGTTTGCAGACAAGAAATATTCGCAATGCCGAGGCTCTCAAGAACTTCGTGAAAATTCCTCGCGAATAAAAGTTGGTTTACAGTATATATTGCGCTAATTCAAGCAAACAAAATAAGTACATGTATAGAACGTTGTTATGACACTAAACCAGTAAATTATCTTTGTGTAATCTCTTTTGTTGTCGTACATTGAATATGTCAGGTTACATGTATTTATAATGGGGGATTGGGTGTTCCATATGTCCAGGGAGGGGTGACCTGGGGCCCCCTGAAGATCCTCATGGGGTCGCCAAACCCAGCGGGGACCCAGGAGCCAAGCCCCCAGTAGCTCCTGGGTTTTCATGTATTAAGTTAGTACTAAAACCAGGCACAAAAATATTGGTATACGTTAGATACGTACACTATGATATTTCACTTTTTAAAAGAAAATAAATTGAATAATTAAGTATGCGATTATTCATATCTGAGGAAATGCAAGGTTTTCATCAGATTTTGAAGAAAACTGATACTTGGTCATTGAAAAAAAAATACAATTTATTAATACACCACTAATGATAAAACCAAAAATTTTGCATTATTAATATTATTGAAATATTATATATACTTTTAAAATTTTAAAAGATGTGCCCCCTCCCATCCCCTTTAATCCGTCATAGTGTTGTCGATAAATCGATATCTTAATGACAAGTTGAGGCCACTATTAATAAATATGAATAAGACTGAAACAATTTTTTTCATATAAAGTGCCATAGATAGAAGGTAACGGTTTTCGTAATAGATAGCAAAAAGGTACAATTTTGATAAATTTAAAGAATCTTTATTTATATGTGCCATAGTGCATCTACTTTTTTATTCTTCATATATTGACATTTATTTTGGCTTTCTAATGGCAAATCAAAGGCAGTGCAATTTCATCTATTAAAAAAGCTAATGCTGATTCAGTACCTGTTCATAAAATGCAAAAATGGGAGGCACTTCCTCCTCATATTGAGGTGATACATATTATTTAAAAATAAGCCAAGATAAGGACAAATCTTCACTAACATATGCTTCAAGGGTGAAAATATTTGCTATTCAATAGAGGAATAAAAGTAAATTACTCATTGTAGTGATTTTTAGTTCTTACGAGGAATATCCCAAGATCGGCATATCACTTTAGAAAAAGAGTTATTCCAATTCCCTTGACCACTGTTTTCTAAACCATCATCACAAATTGTTCCCCATTCCCCGTTGTAGTAAACTTCAACTCTGCCCTCATAGGGAGTAGCTCCTCCAATAAGTCGAATTGTTTTGTCTAAAAAGCGAATTTCGTATAATACATAAAGAAAAATATGTTTATATAAACAAGAGCAATATTTTTTTTTATTTAGATAAGATCATTATCTTAATTCAGATCATGAAAACTATTTTAAAATTAAATATAATGCCCTGAAAAAATAACATACTGGAAATTTCGGTAATAGAAGTTGTATCACTATCCTTTGTTGTTATCATTATTGGTGTTGTTGTTATTGTTGTTGCAGGAGAAGGAGTTGTTGACTGCAATGTTGATTCCCTTGGGTTTGTTGTCAGTGTCGTAGAAAAATTTGTTGATGGATCTATAAATTCGTATTAGAGACTCTTTTTATAAGAAAGCATAATCGGTGTTCAAAAATTATAAATTTGAAAGAAAAAAATTTTTTCCAACCATGCTTTTTAAATCTTTTGTTTTCACACAGAGCCCTTTCTTTAGAAATATTAAATGCATTTAGTTTAAAATGACCTTAAAAATCAGCCCAACGAAAAAAGATATTTAAATATTCATTTAAACAATTGAAATAAAATTTTTTTTTGCCCTTTAGCCACGGCTTTAAAACTAAATGTGAATCCCATTTTATAAATAACTAAGCTTTTGAGAAGTGTTTTTGTTTTATGAAGTATTATATACCAAACTGATTCTTGGCAATTTCAAGATATCAGTCAGACACAATAGACCATATGGATAAAGAATCAAATCACAACTCAGGTGAACCAAAATCTAATTTTCATGTAAAGCCTTTACCTTAAATTTTAAAGGTTCATTCTCTATAAGGCCATTTTCCGGCCTACGATAAAATTACTTTAAAATGTGATTTTATATAACTATAATCATTTTAATTCATGATTTTGATGTTTGTTTTTCAACATCGATCATCTAAGTCACGTGATTTAGAGATAAAAAAAAATGGCTGTCAGTTAAAGAAAAAATGAGGGTACGTCTATTTAAATCAAGTTTCTATGCATGTTTCTGAATGTAAATAATCAAAAATTGTTTATTTATGTCGAAAATACATCAGACCTTAGTAATAAATTCGAAGATTTTTTTTTAAATTTAAGGTTCAAGATATTTTTATGAATAACAGAATGCCATGCATCACATTTTGGATATTTTGAACGTTAATCTTTACGAAATTCACACTGTATGGTGCTGAAAAAAGTTTGATTTGCAATTTATTGAAAAATATTGTATCATATGTAATTATATTTTAATTGTATATCATTTCTATAGATATGGTACTTATTTTACGCATAAAATAACTATGTTAAAAATGGGGTTTCTAAGTTTCTATTGAACTCTAAAAGCTATGTATCAAATGTTGAAAGCACTGAATGGATTTTGATTGCGATTAAATCAAACTGAAGTAGTAATTCAGAAAAAATTCAACTATTGCAAAAAAAAAATAAATAAATAAAGAATTTACAGCATGAGAATATCAATGCAAGTACATGTTGACTATCCATACACATGTAAATAGTCAATGCATTTAAATCAGAGCGGTTGCATTCAAATATACATCTCTAAGTAAAATGAGATGGCGTCGTAAAATGGCTTTGCTTTTATTTAATTACTCGTGTCGCACGATATATTTAATTAAAAATGGCATCTAAACTTTATGTATTTACATGTATAAAAGTTGAGAACCCCCCCTCCCCATCCCCCTTATCTAACGGCACAACATAAATGAAGCAGAATTTTAACAGTTCCTTCAACTATGCATATCAGATTCTGAAATTATTCGTATATACTAGTCTACGGAATTAAGAGTTCTACAACATCCCAGGTACAAATTGGACCCTAAGGGTTTGATGCTCCTTTCCCTCTCTTGAAACCTGTAGATTAAATTTAGTCTCTTTCCCAGTGCAGCATCAAAAACTTGTTTAACACGTATAGTGACAGTTCCTTACCTAAGTCTTTAGCATTTAAAGTAAATGTCATCGGTCTTTTGGATATTATCTTTTTTTTAAAAGAGAAAAGGTCCCGTCCCGCGTTGGGCGTTGGTTAGTAATGCAACTATACATAAACACTTGACCTTCAGTGGATGATTTATTTATCTGGTTGAAAAAATCCTAAAATGGGGTAAAACAACATCCAACTATCAATCACATATTACATTTAGGAATCCCTCTCCTCTTTACCAGATTATTTTCTAAGACAGGACTACTGTTCTCGTAACTTATATCGAATGCTATCAAAGAAGTGTGATGAATAGGTTGAGTCCTCTCGATATTAAGACCTAGTTAACAAAATATGAATCACATGATACTCGTACGGAAGTGTCCATATAAAAAATTATGAGTGTACCCATAGGAAAGAGTCTATAACACAAATAATAAATGCATGTTACCGCTTCAATAAAGATTGCTTTCATCATTTCTAGAATACATACAGTACTCATAAGGAAAAACAAAGAATATATGCAGTACTCATAACGAAATTCAAGGGAGTAGCATATATAGATATACTAAACTATCATTATAAATATAAAAGATAACTCATATTCACACCATATATTTTATAAAAAGTTTTTATTTCTTAATTTTTATCAGACATTTCAAAGAAACGTCTCCACTTGAAATTTCATGACATCTAGTCCTTACAGTCCTTTGAATTTTAGACTTTTAATGAAAAAGTTCACATTTTTTTTTAGTAAATATGCATGGCTGATATAAATCTTAGTAAATCAACAGAAAATTGTACTCTAACCAAAAGTTCATTAAAAGAAATAATCTACATAAGCTGATATCCTTCATTGTGAGTAGTTAGCTTTTTCTGCAAATATCGTAAAAATGATGTGAAAAGTTTTTATTTAGATGTCATAACAACCTTTAACCAAATTCATAATTTGGTAGTCACTTTTTTTATATTTATAAGAAATTTACATGCAAATTTTGGTGTTGGTTAAAGGTGGTTATGACGTGCGTAGGAGTTATCTAATTAATCTAATTACCCTATGCTAATACAGACCGATAGTACCTTACTTTGTGACACTATGTCATTAAAAATACTATGTATCTTTAACCAACCAATATTTATCATTAAATTGGAACATAAGCCTAGTGATTCATGCAATTTTTAAGGGAAAAAATACTATCTGAAAATTTGAAGTCATTATAGGCCGCAAAACGGCCTTATAGAGAATGATCCTTTGAGTTTTTGAGTTATAATGTTTGCGTTTAAGTATCTTTATTCCATATAAGACTAAATGAACTATTCATATGTTAATTGCAAATATTCAAACCTTCTTTAGGTGAACATCTAATAGACACATCTTCTAAATGTTGACAATTATGGACCTTCCATCCTCTGTGTTTGCATTGTCCGATATCTGTCTCACTTCCCAAGCAATCCACATCGTCCAAAAGTATGGGACCTGTTCCTTCTCCAAACCGAGCACAACACATACTAACTGCATTTTTTCTAAATGAAAACACATAGAATTTAATACATTCAATAATACTGGATTAAAAGAACAAATTTTAATTAAAAAGTTCATCTTTCCCTAGATCGATCATTCTTTCTCTCTTTAGTATAGCTCTTGATCCATTTACTCACGATGAAAATCCCAGTGACTGACAGACCATGGCAGTATCTTTCTCATCCCAGTAGTCATCACAGACAGTTCCCCATTCTCCATTGTAATAAATCTCAAGTCTTCCTTCATATTGACTTTGCCCGCCAACAAGTCTTATAGGCTTATCTAATGTAAATATAAAACAAAGAAACATTGTACAGAAATATCACATAAAAACAAGACAAAATCAGATGAACAATTCCATACCATTTGATGAGCATACAACCGCTGCATCTTCATGGTTGTCACAGTTATGATTTCCCCATCCTATGTGTTGGCAGTGGAAAATATCTTGTTCAGTCCCCAGGCATTCGACGTTATCCAGCCATATCTGAGGCCCTCCTTTGCCATATACTTCACAACACAGTCCTTTTGCATTATTTCTACAAAATATTTTAATACCAGTATTTATGAATAATGTGAATTCACTTTAAAAGCTAATATAGATAAACAATTTTAAAATTCTTTTTCAATTTTAGATAGAATTTAAAATGATCACAAATATTTTTATCTCTTGAAATAATACGGGAAAACCTAAAAATTAAGAAGCATTTTAATTTTTAATATCTCTCTGATATGATTATATCATATCATTGACATTTATCTTTTTGTAACATTGTGTAACCTTGAGTATCCCAGCATTCCACAAACAACCGCCGCGTCTTTGTCATCCCAGTGATCGTCACACACGGTTCCCCAGACTCCATCATTGAAGATCTCCACGCGCCCTTCATATGGAGTACTCCCATCCATTAGTCTCACCAAATTCCCTTCAAAAGCAAAAAAAAAACTTTAAAGCCTTCAGGAAGATAAATTTCCATATAAATAGTTTCAGTTTTAAAGAAACCAAGAGTCTCTCTGTTGTAACACTCAATACCATCGTTGTCAATACAAATTTCTACTAAATGTAGTTCTTTCAGGTATCATTTTTTTTACTTTAAGTACATAAACTGTAGAATTTTACGTTCTGTTGAATGTGCTTACTTTCCGTGCAGTTTTCCCCATAAAATCCCGGATAACATTGACATTTGTAGGTATCTATTCCGTCTAAACAGGATGCATTGTTCTTACAAGGACCATTTTCACATTCGTCGATATCTGAAAGTAAG